TGCGCCAGAAGCTGTAGAGCTACTCAATAGAGTCTAACAGATCATGCATTGTAATGTTATGACTCCAAGATCTATAGATATTGTTTTTAAAAGAATTAGTTTTGTCATCCAAAAAGGGGATTACAGCACAGCTTGTTGTTCGTTTACCCGCTACATTTATGTAAATCTTTCTTATTCATTCAAAAAAAAAAAAATTTCTAACCCCCAAAACATTAAAATTGGATCGAGTAAAGGTTCCTATTCTATGTTTTTTAAAAAGGTTCCTATTCTATGTTTTGTTTTTTCATTATCCTTACCTTATCTTAAAAAATACTTTTTTACTCGATTTTTGATATTTTTAAATTTGTTTAATAATATTATTTTTGTTATTATTATTTTTAATAATATTAATTTAAATGGGCCCACCAACCCATTCCCCTCCCTTTCTTCCTTCTCAACGATCTGGTGCAACTACGACTCGTTAACCTCCAGCAACACCTCCGACAACTGCCGACTACCACCGTCGTTCACCTTCCGATCTAGTGTCCACCGTTACTATCAATATTTGCTCACTTAAACCAAATTGCATAAAAAACTAAAACATAAACCAAAACCAAACCCAAATCAAATGAAATCAGAACCTAAAACCAACATTGAACTTGAAATCTGAATTGTTGTTTGATGGCAGCTTCAGGTAGTCAAATCGAGCAAGCTTCATATAGAGACGACGGTAAAGAGGTTTTCAACGAGAGAAAAAACCAAAACTTGTATAACATTGAGGTGGTTTCCGTCGAAAGAGGAGAGGAAAAGAAAGTTTCCAGATAGGAAAGTTTGATGGTGGTGTATTGGTGTTGGAGTAGGTGGTCGTGTCTAGAAATTGGTGAGCGGAGCTAGAAGTTGGTGGTCGGACCTGCAAAGGAGGCGAAGGTGAATATCACTGAGGCGAGGAAAGGAGAGTAATTAGGGGTGGTCAATCGTGTGACTGGTTTAGAAGATCAGAAGTGGTGGCGGTGAAGGTATCATGGTCTCCACTCTAAACGAAGCTCTAAACATCTTCATTATTAGGTACTAGTTTATAATCCGTGGAAACTACGGTTGTAAAATTAATCAAACTTTTATAGTAAAAACTCAAAACTATTAATAAGTTATTTTAAATAAATTATTGATTTAAGAGATATTTTTATTAGTTATGTGAAATTATAATCATTGATTCAAATAATATATAAAATTAATTTTTAATATATATTAGATATTTTTTATTTGTGAATTAATGAAAACAATAATTTAAAACTTAAAACTTAAAATAGAATCACATTAATAAGGAGGTCTAATAAATTTAAAATGGAAAACTAATAGATTGATAAGTGGCAACACATTAATTAAAATGTATAATATGATGACACATGACAAAATAACTACTCTTTTATTAGTATAGGGATAAAGATTTGATGCTTTTATTGATTGTACATTATGCCTTGTTAATTTTATATTAATAAAAGATAATAATAACAATAATAATAATAATAATAATAATAATAATAAATAACATCAAGAGTAAAAGAGTCTTTTTATATATGGCATGGGCTAGAGATGTAACAAAAACATAAAATAAGGACCATCCGAATTTAAGAATAATAATTAATGACCAAACGCACAAATCACCATATATTACTCCAAATTACAGAGACCATTCATATAAAACTGGTATGCATACCACAAAATGGGTCATGATCTAAGTGGTGACGATCGTTGTTAGTGCACACCACCCCGAATCCTAGTGGTTCTTTATGGTCATTATGATTTGTGGTGGGAAGAACGGCTACGCATGCCCAATCAGATTTCTTCTTCTCTCTCTCTTTACAATAAAATATATTTTTATTTAAAATCAAAAAATAAAAAGATATAGTTGTAGGTATACCAACCTTTTAGTGGTGGTTAGTGGTGACGATGTGGCACCTACTTTTATAGTAGTTAGTTGTGGATATAAGTGATAGCCTAATTTACTCAATTGGATCACGTCCCAGAAAATATTCTTTCATGTTTAGAAGTTTCAACATTTATTCCCCATACTTCTACGTTTTACATTCTCACCTCCAAATCCTTAAAATATGGTCACGTCCCTAAAAAATTATACCTTCAAGTTTAGAAGTTGCAACATACGCTTTTGTATTTTACATTCTCGCCTCCAAAACCTTAAAATTTAATCACATTCGCAAAAGCTCGTTAGTAGAAATTGAAATTTTTGAAAGATTCAATGTTGTTTGCTATGGTTTGCTAATGTAGATCCTCGTTTTAACCTTCTAAATAACAAGAACAAATTTCACATTTCATATTCCATATTTCAAACATCAAAAAATAGTATGTGTATAACAAGAACAAATTTCACATTTCATATTCCATATTTCAAACATCAAAAAATAGTATATATATATATATATATATATATATATATATATATATATATATATATATATATATATATATATATATATATATATATATATATATATATATATATATATAGTAGGTTCAAATAAAAAAAATAAATAGTATGAGAACGTAAAAACACTATGTTATGTTATTATTCTGTAATGAATTTTTTATGTGTGTTGTTGAAGTAATTTTAATATGAATATTAACATTTGATTATTCATATATTCATTAGAATGTTATTATTCTACTAAATAATTATGCATGTGTCTTTTTGTAATAATTAAAATTTTAGTTTTAACCTTTGACTATTCATTTATTTATTGTTGAATAGTGACATAAAACAGTTGATACAAAATTCATTGTATAATAATAATATAAAAATAGTGTTTTTATGTTCTCACACTAATTACAGTTTTTATATGAACTATATATATATATATATATATATATATATATATATATATATATATATATATATATATATATATATATATATATAGTTAGGTTCATGTGAGACGGCCTAATTTTGTGAGACCGTGAGATGCATTTTTTTATTTTTTTTTATTTTTTTAAAATTTCTTTTAGTTAATTCAAAGTTCTGAAAACAATATTTAAAAAAAGAATTTTTTGATTTTTCCATTTATTTTGCATTTTAAAATTATTTTTAGAATATGTACAGTGTAATATTCTATTTAGAATATTTCACGTATTTTTCAAAAAAAATATGATTTTTTTTATTTTTTTTAGTTAATTCAAGTTCTGAAAATAATATTTAAAAAAAGAATTTTTAGATTTTTTCATTTATTTTGCATTTTAAAATTATTTTTTAGAATATGTCAGTATAATATTCTATTTAGAATATTTCACGTATTTAAAAAAAAAACTGGATTTTTTTTAGTTAATTCAAGTTCTGAAAATAATATTTAAAAAAATAATTTTTGGATTTTTCCATTTATTTTGAATTTTAAAATTATTTTTAGATTTGGTCTCACGGTCTCACAAAATTAAAATGGTTTCAAATGAACCTGAACATATATATATATATATATATATATATATATATATATATATATATATATATATATATATATATATATATATATATATATATATATATATATATATATATACTAATCTCCAACTCAAATACATCAAAACAAAAACAAACATAGTCGGATTTGTTTATATATATTTTTATTTTTGTGATTGAATACTTGAAACAAAGAAAATATCAACTAAATATGGATCATCGATCACAATATGTATGTCCAGTCGTGTTTCTTGTTGTAAGTTGGATATGTTTATATGTATTTTTATTTTTAGATTTATATATTGTTTAACCTAAGTAAATTTTATGTGTTTGTTTTTTTGGATCATATAGTTACTTTATCTTCGTTGCAATATGACCAATTCCCGAACTGAAGAAAGACGTTCCTGCTACATCTTATTGAGATTTAAAAAAAATTAATCTTAGATTGAAAGATATAATTAAGAAAGGTGGTTATGATAAAATAGACCTTATTGAAACATATGAAACTTATGTAGAAGGTATATCATATTTCATTTCCTATTGTTTTTCGTTGTAATCAAAAGTTTTTATATTATAGTTTTATTAATTTTAACAGACATTTCTTATTTGTTATGTTTAGATGATTTTGATCACATTTCTCTAGCTGCTACTATGAGATGTAAATGTGATTAGTGAAGGTACACCACAATAATTTTTAATATTATTTTTGTATTTAGATATTTGGCATTTCTATTTTTTATAACTTTTATTAATCCACTCAATAAATGATGTAAATCAAGTACGTGTTTTTCATGTTAAAAGACAAAGTCCAATAAAGAAGTTTCAGTCTAAGAAAAATGTTGAATCAAATGCAGAAGTTGAAGACAAGATGGCTTTTTGGATGGGGAGTAATGATATGACTTGCATTATTATGGGAGAGATTTATTATTTAAAATAATTAAAAGGTTTTAGAATAACTTTTTACATTGTTAGGGGGCTTAGTGTTATTATTATTAATCAGTTTATTTTTATTGATTAATACATATGTTTTGGTTTGCAAGTTAGGTTATGTTTGGTAGACTAGTTGAAAAGCTAGCTGCTAACTTATAAGCTAGCTTACAAAAAATAACGTTTGGTAAAAACTAGCTGAAATATATAAAATGACGTAAAATAATATTTAGAAAAAATACGTTTTTTGTAATTAATTAAGGGTATATTTGGGAAATTTTTAAAAACCTCTTAAAAAACTACTCAAAATAGCTTTTTAAAAAGCTAGCTTATCAACTACTTTTTGACTTGCCAAATATAATAATTTAAGAAAAAACTCGAAAAATAAACTAACTTATCAACTAAGTATGGTGCACCAAACACATCCTTAGAATAATAGTATTGATAAGGCATTATGGTTAGGATTTTGGCAGGCAAAAGTTGAGTTCACAAACCCTAGGATACCTCTTACTTCTCGAATTATATGCACTATGCACTAATTGTATTTTTCTTTCTTTAAGTTACTTTTAAATAAGAAGTTAGTCTGGTTCGTACTGCATCAGAAACCACTAAGCCTCAAAACAAAAAAAGGTATAACAAACACAATCAATAAACTCATAATGATCAAGTTAGGGAATACAGGGAAAACCACATACCTAATCATGGGGAAAGTGGGAAACAAGGGAGGGGAGACACATGGAAATGTCATTTTCCAAGAATTCCATTCACAATAAATCCAAAAAAGTAAATGAAAATACTGATCATTAAATTAAACAATAATAACATACAAGAAAACATTAAGAGCGTGGACTACGAACTGGCAAATAATTTAGAGATCTATGTGTGGGCTTGTTAAATATTGTCCGAAGGTCGCCATAAAATGTTGATAGAAGACTTTGAAACATGTTGAATCCTGAATGTCTTTCTATAATCATCTTCATCATCCCAAAATTCTGAACAATCTGCTGTGACGTTTCTTGTTTGCATGAGGTCATCTTTACCTTTCCTAGAAACGAGCTCAGCTGAAAATGAAGTCCAATACCTCTTTATGGAAAATGAAATACTATCGTATGATAAATTCAACAATGTGGTTCGTCTCAATGAATTAAAGGAAACATATCCCACGTATGTCTTTAAATCTCCATCATATTTGGGCTCCCCTGCTTGTTTAGAATCCTGCCAAAGCTCAAATGGAGGATCTTCATCTGGCTCCTGCTTAATGATTATACTTATATCCGCATTCATGTCGCTGGTAACAACACGTATTAAGAACCCACAAAAGTCATTGTACCCATCATGTGGAAGACGAATGCGCATTGTATGTGGGTCCATCCTAACATGTGGAAGGCGCATTGTAAATGTGTCCCCCCTATAGAGCCTACCTACAAACCCCTTTAGAATCTTATGTTGAAGAGTAACACTGATAAAGTGATCTTGTATAGCATTTCCCTGCCATGGAAAACACATTCAATTATTCTTACGTTTAGGCTTATATAATTGAAATTCAAAAGGTACATAGAGCCAAACCTGGAGAATGGAGTCTAGTAATAAGTCACTACCAAGTGGACCTAATTTGTATCCCCCCTGAACTGAGACTTTCCACAACCATTTACAGTTTGAAATATCTCCAAATGTTTCAAGTGAGCTACAACCATCCGCTATAACAACAGCTATACTTAATGGCAGCTCTGACAATTCTACAAGGTCATAGCAGTATGACACGTTGAGCCATTTGAGCCGAGGAAATTGCACGTGACGAAAACTTAATCGTGAAAACTTATTTTCAGCAAGGTTTAGTTCTTGCAAGTTGGGTAACACCCATACATCAGAGCCTATGACTTCATTTCTCAAATCACAACGGCTGAGATCCAACTTTCTTAGGCCAAGTTCTTTCAAGTGGTGAAAAAACTGAAACCCTATGTGGTTCATGTTGTTGTGAGGTAAAGAAGGCTCCTCTAAACAACATTCTACTTCAGGAAGACTGCTGCTACAACACTTGAACCAAGTAACATAAGAGTTTGTCCAAGATTTTCCATGGGACGCAACTTTGTTCCCACTATTATCCAAGTGAAGATGTGGTAAATTGTCCATGTTTTGATGTTGGATCATTGTGAGATTAAAAAGTTCGGGGCAGTATGAGAAGGAAAGGGTCTCAAGTTTCTTTAGTCGGCTAATGGGTGGAAACGTCTTAAAACGTACACAACCTTCAATACATAAGGAAACAAGCTTTTCCAACCTTCCAATCGATGAATGAATTTCTTCTAAATACCAAGATCCTTTGAGTTTGAATCTTTCAAGATTTGGAAGTCCACCAAAATCTGGTGTCATGATTAGGTTAGAACACCAAAGTTCCATTATCTTTAAATTTGGCAGCAACTGTTGTATACAAGTGCAAACAAGTCAAAAATGTATCAAGGTGACAAGATTTTGAGGAAAATGGCACGCACGCATACAGACACATAATTCTCAGTTATACACTGTTTATGCGGGAAGATAATTATATATATATATATATATATATATATATATATATATATATATAATTCCTTCCATTTGATGTGTTGGATTGTTAATTAGATATATTATATGTGAATCACTTGATGAATACAAATCAATGTTACCAATGTTTTATAATGGTTATCAATCAACAAAATAAGATCCAAATGTCCCCTGATAATAATATGTTATTTATTTTCAAGAAAACACAAGAAAATTTGTATTTTTATTAAGACAATAGGATATTTGCGTGGAGGATAAGCTTTACATATATACTATGTATAGTTCATCATCGATTTTGTTTTCATCTGTTAATTAGATAAACAATAAAAATTACCTTACAACCATCCCAAAGTTGTTTCTGCAAGGCTCTAGACAATATAAGACAACAGAGCTCCCTTGGTGGAAAGTTATTTGACAATGGATTTGCAGGATCACCTAATTCCCATTCAATATACCGAAGGTTCTTCATGTTTGCAACAATCGGAGTAAGATTTTGATCTTTTAGTAGCAAGCTATCGTAACGAGCCTTTATTGCTTCAATCTTGTCAAGTTCCTGTGATGGAGGAACAAAATGGTGTTAGGGGTTGCCTTAAGAATGCCCCCTAATATATATATATATATATATATATATATATATATATATATATATATATATATATATATATATATATATATATATATATATATATATATATATATGGTAGAAAGGTAAGAAGTTTTTTTTCTACATATTTTTTTGATGAACAAAACAAATGAATTACCAGATGCATAAAAAATAACATGATTCACAAATAAATAAATAAATAAATAAATTCTCAAAAAACTTCTCAATAATTCATTTATACAATGATTTTGTTGTCATTCACTAAAATTATCATAAAATTGAATTTTTTCTTAATTTACATAAAAATGAATCAAGAATATGTTTTTTTGGGAATTTTTTTTGTGAATCATCTAACTTTTGAATCATGTAATGATTCATTTTGTTTGTTCGCTAAAAAAATATGTAGAATAAAAACTCCTTACCTTCCTACCGAAATTTTCCTTCTTATTTTATCTTGATTCTCTCTCTCTCTCTCTCTCTCTCTCTATATATATATATATATATATATATATATATATATATATATATATATATCTTGTAAAGCTATCTTAAACATTACCGTTGTTGCATCCATAGCACTTATTTTTCGAACATCTTCATTCTCCCAAACTCTACTACGTTTTTCAGGATTCTTAGGGTGCTCCACTCTAACAATGTAGTGTCCCATTTCTTGCACCAGATCATGCATATCAAACTCTCCGTATTCCGAAACAGTTATGAGAGCCTTTTGTATCAACACCTTCACTCCTATAACAGGATGAAAACCACAAGCATCAAGTATCTCCATTGCCCTATCTTTCTTCTCCCACCTAAAGAAACATGCAATATCAAGGAACAAGTCTTTCTCAACCTTTGTCAGTCCATCAAAGCTTATTTTTAGCTTTCCCACAATATCATCATTTGGGATATCTTTCAATCTGGCTAAAGCACTCTTCCACTCATGAATATTTTTGTCACACAAAAAAGAACCTATAACTGTAAGTGCTAATGGAAGCCCACCAGCATAAGAGACCACCTCTTTTGAAAGTAACTCATAATCCTCCAATGGTCTTTGGTCCCGATGTGCATGCTTGTGAAAGAGCTTCATAGCCTCATCATTGTTTAGCAAGCTAATATTGTGTATTACATCTACCTTGTGAGCAATTAATACATGCGCATCTCTAGTTGTGATTAATATCCGGCTTCCTTCACCGAACCAATCATGTGATCCAGCCAAGGCTTTCAGTTGGTCAAGCTGATCGACATCATCAAGAACAATCAAAACCTTTCTATGGCAAAACCTATTATTTATCAAGCGTAATCCTCCCCCAACTCTGTTTACATTCATTTCTGAAAGAATTTTTTCTTGTAATTTTCCACAGCCATATGTACTTGCTTCCTCTCGAATATTTTCAACAAAGCAACAACCATCAAAGTCTCTACAGATTTCACCATATACTGAGGAGGCAAGAGTAGACTTACCACCACCCCCAACCCCCCATATTCCAATCATGAGCACACCACCTGACCCAATTTGTAACTCTGATTTCAAACATTGCATGCGAACAGCTATTCCTATCAGGTTCTCATTTGCACTTGAAGTTACATGCACCTTGTGTGAAATTTCGACAACAATCTGTTTGATGCCTTCTGATTCATGCCTACACAATGGATATGCAGAGATAATTAACATACACTCACGTTGACAAAAGAGGTAATTTGGTTTATAGTCTTTAAGATGATGAAAATGAGTCCTAATTACCCTTTATATTTCACAACCAAAGAGAACTTGTAAAGTGAATATCACAAGTAGTTTGTAACAAATTTCTTCGGAAAGATGGAATAGTTTCAAATAGGAAAAAGTGAAGCAAGATGGGTTTGTCGTTGTAGCTAAAAAATGGGATGTTGTTAACTATGGACTTAGAATTCCCATCTTGTCGTTGTAGCTAAAAAATGGGATGTTGTTAACTATGGACTTAGAATTCTGAATTATCATTCAAGAACTAATGGCATCCACAATGCATTGAAATGGATTGTCACATCATTATTCTATAATCCATAGAACTCTATCAATTGTTATTAATAATGCATTGAGCTCAACAAAGTTCAATGGAACATTACTAAAACTAATTTATAATAATTATTAAGGAATTCGAAAACTTCTTTTTCTCATTGAAGAGGGTCATTGAACTCCAAATCCATAGAATGTGCACGTGACATCTCACAATGGTAGAGTTTCATCCATTGAATGACAAATAGACTTACCACTTCATTCAACTCTCCCATTGAACTCTCCTTTGTATATGTTCCTAGATCATAACTTAATATGAGCTAATCTATAAATCATAATCCTAGCTAGCAGGACTTGGGATGTCCTTTAATTTGCCCACTGGCATAAGAAACCACAACTAGGAAAATCATGTCAGAATTTTTTTCTACAGATTTATTTTCGGTTATGATCAGGTGAAGTAGTCAAATCCCCTCCGTTTTATAAAGTTATACAAATATACGTGTGTTGTAGAGCACATATATATATATATATATATATATATATATATATATATATATATATATATAAAGCATAAAAACTGGAAAGAAAAAAAGAGAGAAGAAAATTACCCGTTGGCTATGTTCCTGGGTTCCCATCCAGAGATATTACTTGCATCTACAAGTGCTTTTCTCCAGGTTTCAACAATGGTCTTGTTCTCCACCTCATGTTTCACAAATGCTTCTCCGTATTTCCCTGTTTGCTTTCGTACTTCAGAGGGATCCATGTCATAAAATATGGGCAAAACAATTTGGCCTCTTGTATCCCTGCATTTCATAATATATGCAAGTTCCTTCAAGCACCATGAAGAATCTGCATAATTTTTAGAGAACACGATAACAACAATCTGTGATTCTTCAATAGCCTTCTTAAGGGATGGACCGATCAATTCACCTCGAGGAAGCGTTTCGTCGTCCTTGTAAGTGCAGATCCCCTGTTGTACAAGAGCCGTGTAGAGATGATCAACAAAAGTCTTACGAGTATCTTCTCCTCTAAAACTAAGAAAAACATGGTACTTCCACAACTGAGAAGAATAGGCCATAGCGGAAGGAGAAGAAGATGAAGATGCCATTGATATATTGATTTGTTGAGATAGACTTTATGCAGTTTGAGTAATTCAATGAAGTGAAATATAACTGAGATGTGAGTTTCCACTACCTGTTATCATGTAGAAAAACATCATCAGAACTCATAATTCACGTCACTGATTGCCATTTAGAGAACCTCATAACTACTTCTCAATTTTTTTTTTTTAATTATTATTATTATTTTTTTTTGTCAATACAAAGCCTTTGATAAATAATGCAAGTTATGAATGTATGATTCAAAAGACAGACATGAACTGAGATAGGTGTTGTAAGTTAGTTGTCCCACCACATTATACAAATTGATGTTTATTATTAATTCTACATTGAGATTTTTCTTAAAATAAGTGGACGAAATTTCCCAGCAACACCAAGCTTGGCAGACTCCCTTTCTAAACTCTTCAATTCGCAAGCTTATGCATCAACTTCCATAGGATTTGTTCCTTAATTTCTTATTTCAACTTGAACTGATTAGAGTATGCGGATACCTTTCCTCAACCCCTTCACCCTTTTCTATCAATTCCCAACATTTACCCTGTTAACAAACAACCTCTCCGATTCGCATGATTCAAATGTTTCTGAAGGAAAAACCATGAAACTTCCCATCAGGATTCAGGAAATTCCTATTTACAGCGAAGTTACTAAAAAAATGGATTTCTCTAAACAGTTCCACTTTCATCATTAACATTTTGATCCTCCAATAGTTTTACACAGCATTGTTGCGTTGGTGTCGTCATCTTTGGATCACAAGAGATTTGTTTATCTTCATACTTCAGTGTCAACATTTATCTCAAGTAATACAAGAGGACATCTATAACCTTCAAAATTTCTTCACTAGTCACTATATTACAACTTGCACAATCATACAATGTACTTAACTTCACACTCATAATCATCATTAGGTATAAGCCCATTCATTTGCCACTGTACAAATAGGCAACGAAAACCAATTATTTTCACATTGCTTATCTTTACAAATTTGTATGTCCCACACCAAGGGATGCTATCAGAGTCTTATTCAAAATTTTTGCTTTCCCAACTAGCCAGCATCTATAACTTGTATCCGATTAATGGTTTAACTTGAAGTCATGGGGAAGTTTTGTAGATACTACTTCCTTGAATGTCCAAACTTTAGATCCTTGACATATGTTTATAACAAACGAGAATCTTAATCACTAACCAGCCTAAATTCAAACACCAGAATTGGTAATCAGTAAATGACTAGTATCTTTGATCTAAAAATGTCCCCTCTTAAAGGATCATTTAAATTCCCTATCACCCTGTTCGATTCTCGTTTTGTATCCACAAGACCTATCCGCATCCTTAGATTCATTTCCCAATAATTCCATTGGTTTATAACATACAAAATAGCTCATCAACTTCACAAACTGATTAATTTTATCATCAAACTATACTAATTAAAAACTTCACAGATTTGACTAGATAACGTCAATACGTTTTTGACATTCCAGATCAACATTTTTCTTAACCCATTAATAAAATTTACTCAGTAAGTCATACGAAACTTCATTAACACTTCAACTTCTTTATTGATAACTTATACTTTATCAATTTATCAGTTTCAAGAACGCACCTCAAATTCCCAGCAACGCCAAATTTAGCAGACTCTCTCTCTAAGATTTTACTTTGCAGCTCAACCGCTTACACTTCAATTCCCGTAGAGTTTCTTCCGTAAGTTGTTCTTTTAGCTGGATCGATTTGAGTAGGTGAATTATTTCCTCCAGCGCTCGACTCCTCTCCAACCTCACAACTTCACAACTCTATAGATAGATCGGTCAACGACAGAGTAAAAATAATGACTAAGTGAAATTATTTAAGTTTAGAACTTTCCACATTTAGTCCCCAAACTTCTACATTTTACATTCTAACCTCCAAAACCTTAAAATTTGATCACGTCCCTAAAAATTATACCTTCAAGTTTAGAGGTTACAATATTTAGTCCCCACACTTCTACATTTGACATTCTTACCTTTGAAACCTTAAAATTTGATCACATATGCATGTGTGTAAAGAGTTTAGTGGAGTGATGCGAAGTGACATGAGAGTCTTGAAACAATCTTTGGAGTGGGTATGGATAGGTGTGGAAGATAGTATTGGGGTTGTACTACTAAAAACACAGGATTCATACTCAAGAATACCAGGAAACTTATAGGTGGGTATGCATAGTGTGGATTTGCATTGTGCAATGATTTTGATATGTTTATGTATCTTTCATATTCAGGATGGTGACATTTCGTGTTGGAGGTTCAGATTTGAGTGAGGGGGATGTCCGTGACATCATACCTGTGGACATTTCGAGATTCATGAGAGAGGATTTTCTTGGATTGATCAGCACTTTCAGGGAAGAGTTGATCGCAGTGGTAGACGGTCGACTTAGGAATCTGTGGGGCGAATAAAAAGATTGTTGACCATGGGATCACAGAGTCACCTTCAAGGAGTTTAATGCTTGTGGAGCTCCTCGTTTCTTTAGGAATAGGGAACCGATCATTAGTATGTGTTGGATTGCCGATGTGAAACGTGTCTTTCGTGCCAGCGGAGGCCAAGTTCATATTTGCAACACGTATTATGTGCGGCATATTTAGAGATTGGTGGTGCGAGGTTGTCCAGGGCTTCGAACCAGATGCGATCGAGTCTGTGTCATGGGAGGATTTTGTCACCAGATTCAAGAGAGGTTTTATGTTGGCAATTGAGGTTCAACAGTTACCACGAGAGTTTATGGCACTTGAGCAGACTATAGAGTCGGTGGCTGAGATCACTGGCAAGTTTAGGGAGAGGGCATTTTTCCCCTCAGTATGTGGCAACAGAGGAGATGAGGATGACTCGCTACCATGATATATTGAGGATAGAGATCCGAAAACAGATGAGTAGAAAAGGAAGTAGGATTTGGTTTATGCATATGCAACATCAACCAAGAAGACTAGAGTGACTAACATCCGGTCGGGAGATTGAGAGACTCGCAGGTTGTACATCAGGTGTCATCGGGCTCATTGGGGTAATTGTTGTACGTCATTTTTTGGATGTTTCAGATGCGATCAGGAAGATCACTATAGTCGGGGTCATAGTCTGATGGAGTCGAGGGTATGTTTCCTTTGCAGTTAGCCAGACCATGTTAATGTTGAATGCCCTTTGATATCGGATGGTGTGGTTCTAGATCCAACACCTTTAGCCTGGCAGTTTCTGGATGAACAACATGGAACAACTTGAGTCCCTATGGTCGGGGCTTGAGTTAGCAGGTTTCTTCAATTCCATCGGATGTACTATTTATTGGTTTCTTCAGTTTCTTTATTATGAATCTGTATTTTTAATTATAATCTTGGATGATTTGTTGTGTGGTAATGTCTTAATCGATTCTCGTTCTATTTTGAATGATTAAATATGTTTGGATTGTGGTGGTTGCGAACTTGCAGAAATGTGTTGAAACTCTTTTGTTTCATTGGTATGGGTCATATTCATATGTTGGAGCTCTTGAGTTTTGTTTGAGAAATTCTGATTCCTTATGTATGACGATATCAGAAGTGGTGGTTAGGAACCATGTGGTGAACTTTTGGGTTGACTTGGAAATTTGAATAGTTATGAGGTCATCGGAGTTTAGACAAATCCGAGTGCGGGAGAATCACTCATTCAGGTGGAAAGATTTAAAATTACATGTCATCCCGAAGTTTCTCATTCAAGGATAATTGATAGCAGGTTCGAGTCATTAGCAGGAATGAAGCTTATGCAAGGAATATTAATTAGTCAGTCGCGACCAAGGAACCTGATTCCGAAGATTTGAGGTTTCCCTGTCCATGAAGCATTGTTTGAGACATGAGTTTGAGTTAGATATTAGGCTCAGATTGAGGATTTTGTGAGGGCCTCTCTGCTTGTTCTTATCGGATGAAGGCTTTGGGGTTCGAAGTACAACCCAAACACCTAACAGGGATCTAGTAGACTAGGGTTTCATCTCGTGTAAGTTTTTCTTGCTATTTTCGTTGGCTTGTTTGAAGGACCATGGGGGAGCCCATGGTAATCGTAGGAGTAGGGATGTTAAAAACCCCCCACGGGAGATCATTCCCATGGGACCCCAATGTCGTACAAGATTAATTTTAAAAAATTTGGGAGCGGGAGCAGGGGAGAGATTAAACCCTGTTTATTTTCGGGATCGAGGTTGGGAGGGGGTATTTCCGTCCCGTATTTCCACAGGGGCCCCATTTGTATTATATATATATATATATATATATAATTTTAGGGTTTATATTTTCTAACTTCCTAATTTCCTATCCAATTGACTACATTGAGGTTGAGCAATGAGCATCCATTGGCATCGTCGACTTCCAAGTTCAAACAAGAGCTAAGAATCAATATCCATCAGATTCGTTGATACTCGATTTACCGACATCATACATATCACTCACCAGCTTTGTCGATACTCGATCACCTGCGGTCTATGTGTCTACATTGTCTCCGATCATCTTCCGCCTACCGACTCCCGAGTGCAGATTGTTGACCTGTTTTCCCGGTGAACTAAAACCCCACTTTTCCTCTTTGAAGTTTCACTCATCTCAATCTTTCTTCCATAACACTATATCAATGATTGTTGATTTTTACTACCCTTTATTTATACTGATTGGACACAGTTAATACTCAACTCTTAGGCTATTAGTGCTCTCATGAGTTTAGCCTATATTGTTTGATATGATTGTCGATTTCTGCTAGTTTAGCCTATAATGTTGGTTGTGTTATCTGAATCTAATCTGTTAGACTGTTATACTATTAATAATGTTGACTTTTTAAATCTAATATGTGGTTCCATGTGTTGATGAATCTGATTTTTGTAGAATTATTAAAAGAAAAAGCTTTGTTGAATATGATGTTGCTGCTTTGTTGAAGGTGATGCTGCTGATTTGTTGAATGTGATTATCCCAAAATGCAACAATTTTTTAGCAAAAAAAATCAAATTTAAGCCAATAAAATGGGGGAATGGGGGTGG